TACCTTCTTGTGTCTATTCGCATACCTACTGGGTCAGAAACACTGGAGGTAGGTAATAACAATCTGTACCCGGGTGAGCCCTTTAAAAAAGTATGACATGCACATGCATGTCACATATGAATGAAGGTGCCCAGGAGGCCAGAAAAGCTGCCAGATCCCCAGGTATTAGAGTTACAGGTGATTTTGAGCCTTCAAGAACTCTTAGCCACAGAGGATCAATCCAGCTCTGTATCCAGTTTACTCTTACCTATGACCAAGTTTACAAAGCAATATTTGGGCATCAGGAGGCCACCAAAGGCTACCTCATAAAAGAGATTAGATCAGAGTTGTTCTCTCAAACATAGTGAGGGGTCTGAATAATATTGCATTGTGTGTATGAAGTACATTTCTTAATTTTTTATTATTTTATGTGTATGACTATTACCTGCCATGTATGTATGTATGTATATATGTGCATAATGTGTGGGCCTGGAATCCACGGACATCACAAGAGGGTGTCAGGGTCTTTAATTCCCAGCAGTTGGGAGGCAGATCTAAATTCAAGAGCTGCACAGAGAGACCATGTGTAAAGCAAAGTAAGCATCAGGAGAGGTTCTACTAGTTGCCAGCGGTTCAATGAAAGATATAGAAGGTGACTTCATACAAGCCAGCATCCCCAATAGAACAGAAGAATGAGAACAGACTTCCTCAGCAACAATTTGAAATCCTTTATGTTTTTCTGTCCTAAAACTTTTCTGTGTGTGTGTGTGTGTGTGTGAACGTGTGAATGTGTGTACAGGTGCATTTCGAGGTCAGAGGGTGATGTTAGATGCCTATTTCTGTCTACCCTCATATTTGCTTAGTTTGTTTTGAGACAGGGTCTCACTATGTAGCCCTGGCTGTCCTGGAACTTGGGCTATGTAGACCAGGCTGGCCCAGTTCCTGGCATTAAAGTCATGCGCCACATTGCCCAAATGCACCTGATTTCTTGACACAAGGTCTCTCAGTGAACCTGGAGCCCATGGTTTGGGTTTGGGCTAGACTAACTTGCCAGTGAGCTCCAGGAATCCTTCCGCCTCCACTCCCTAGGGCTAAGCTTACAAGTGTATGCCATCACACCAACTCTTACATGGATGCTGCGGATCTGAGCTCACATCTTCACATGTTATGGTTGATTTCCCCAACACATGCCCTTCATATTTTGCCTTTCAAGAAAGAGAAACACTTTATAAATGACTGGCAAGCAGACTTCTACTTTTATTGGAAACTACATCTTCTTAACATGAAAACTGTTATAAAGTTTATTCTACAAAAAGATTGAGGCCTGACCTATTGCAGCCTCCTAACACACTTCTTTTGAAAGTGCACAGACATCTTCCCAGCGCATTTCTTACTCAATTCCTTTTGCTTTCAGCTCTGCCTTGACACGTGTCAGGTAATGAGGATCAGGGTAGCCAAAACTGCATGAAGAAAAAGAAATCCTGTTAGCTTCCTCCCAAATAATTCTCAAGAATCTACAATAGCCAGGAATGGTAGCACAGGCCTTTAATCCCAGCAGTCAGTTGGCGACAGCAGTCAGATCTCTGTGAGTCTGAAGCCAGCCTGGGCCACACAGTGAGACCCTGCATCTAAACAACAACAACAAAAGATGTACAATTTACATTTGAGCATCTAGTATTCTGGGATCCAGCATCCTCAGGCAATCAGACAGTGGCTGGTATCTAGTCACTGAAGTGCCCAGCTGACTGACCAGCATCTGTTTTCCACACATTGCTTAACACCTTAGCTCATTCCAAGTATGGATGCACATAGTGTTATAAAAGCCAAATTCTACAGAGATGGTAATCATACCATAGTAGGACTTTCAAATTCTACAGAGAAGGTAATCATACCATAGTAGGACTTTCAAATTCTACAGAGAAGGTAATCATACCATAGTAGGACTTTCAAAATGGGAAACTTGACAAGGTCTCAGGATATTTTTCTTTTGGATGCCACAAGTACAGGAACTGTGAGATTTATAAAGTATAGTCAGATTTCCTGGGAACATTTCCCACCATCTTGGGGCTCTTTATAATGAAGACTTTCTTTCTATCATGTTTCATCCATGTGAGTTTAGCGTCTTTGTGGACAATGGGAAGATAGGGGTGAGGAAGAATAAGATGACCTTAAAAGAAGCTAAAGCAGGGCTGGAGACATGGCTCAGAGATTAAGAGCACTGGCTGTGCTTCCAGAAGACCCTGGTTAAATTCCCAACACCCACATGTCAGCTCACACCTGTCTGTAACTTCAGGGGATCTGACAGCCTCACACAGACATAAATGTATGCAAAGCAAAAACGTAAATAAAAACAAACATTTTTTTTAAAAAGTCAAAGCAAGTATTCTTAGTATCTACATTTCAAATTGACATGAAACACTAAAATTAAATCAACTGGGGCACCATTCATCTTGGGTTCTGAAACTCTAATTTTGATGCATTTTGGGGGGGCATAGAAACAAAGTTACTCTGTGTAGACCTGACTGTCATGAAATTCTGTCTGTAGACTAGGTTGGCCTCCAGCTAGAGATCCACCTGCCTCTGTCTCTTGAGTACTGTGATTAAAGTTGTGCACCACCACTGCCCAGCTTTGATGCAAAATTTAATAACCAATTCATACATTATGAATGGCAAAGTAGAAGGTAGGAGGGATCAATTTTTTTTTCAAGACGAGCTCAAACTCAGATATCCACCTGTCTCTGCCTCCCAAATTCTGGGATTAAAGGCATGTTCTACCATTGCCCAGCTTGAACCAATTTTTTCTCTTTAAAGTTATCATTATAGATTAGAATTTTTCTTTTTCTTTTTTGTTTTTTTGAGAAAGGGTTTTCACTGTATCTTTGGAGACTGTCCTCGAACTAGCTCTTGAAGACCAGGATGGCCTCATACTCACAGAGATCTGACTGTCTCTGCCTTCCTAGTGCTGGAATTAAAGAATGTGCCACCACAACCTGGCTCATTTTCATAATTAGTGATTGATGTGGGAAGGGCCCAGTCCATTGTTAGTGGTGCCAGTCCTGGGCTTGTGGTCATGGTGGGTATAAGAAAGCAGGTTGAGGCAAGGCGGCGGCGGACGGACCGACGCAAGGCTGCGGCGGACAAACCAACGAAAGGCTGCATGGGATGGACCGAAACAAGGAGGGCGAAGCAGGTGGCAGAAGGCAACACAGGCGGCAGGGACCAGCACTCAACACCGAGAGCAGATAACCCCACGACAATTAAATCAAAGAGGTAGGCCTTTGGTTGGCAAGGTCCCTGGCAAACAGGGAGCCTGATCCTGTTCCTGAAGACCCGTCTGAGGAGTGAGAGGGATCTTGGCCCCCAGCAGGAGCCAGGAAATAGAGCGAGGGCATTTTGAAAGAGGAGCCTCTGGCCAGCAGAGAAACCTGATCCGATTTTAAAAGACCCATTAGATAGCATCGATAGGAGGAGATGGGCAGGTGCCAAGGCAAAAATTCACCCAATAATCTGAAAAACAACATGAAAACACCAAAACCCAATGATCTTACAACAGAAGGACTTGAACACCCTAACACAGAAGAAGTGGAAAAAATTGACTTTATGAAAGCAATAGAGTCCCTTAAACAACATGTAAAAAACACCCTTATAGAAATGGATGAGAAGTATAACAAAAATTTGAAGAATTGAGTACCTATGTACATGAGATTCTGGGAAACCAAGAAAAA